TCAAGGCCAGGTTGGACACAGGGGCTTGGGGCAACCTGCTCTAGTGGAAGGTGTCCCTGCCCGTGGCAGGGGTTGGAGCTGGAGGAGCTTTAAGCTCTCTTCCAACCCAAACCATTCCAGGATTCTATGCATAAACCCTTTCCCCTGGAGCTCAGTGCCCACAGTCAACACACTGGAGATAACAACCTGCCCAAGCCTTGTGTCACTCTTTTCTACCTCCTGGGTCCAAAAAGGACTTTCCCAGGTCCTTCCTGGACCTCTCTGTATGCTGAGCCCCATCTGCTCGAGCACGGAGCCCCCAGCTCTTCCTCCCCCTGGTTCCTGTGACCCACAGCATCGCTCTGACTGCTCTCTCCGTGCTCTTCAGGTGCAGTGCAGGTCATGGTGGCCTCCCGCAGCCTCTGCTGGGGCATGAACATTGCCGCTCACCTCGTCATCATCATGGACACGCAGTACTACAACGGCAAGATCCACGCGTGAGTGTTGTGCCACGCTCGTGAGCACTCATCCCAAAGGGCTCCATCCTTATCCAGGCAGAGGCTGGGAATCGCTGTGGTGGTGGCAGCTTTCCATGGAGCTGCATTAACTCTCTCTGTGCCCCAGGTACGTGGATTACCCCATCTATGACGTGCTGCAGATGGTGGGACACGCGAACCGCCCGCTGCAGGACGACGAGGGCCGTTGTGTCATCATGTGCCAGGGCTCCAAGAAGGTGGGTGAGGAGCAGGGCAACGTTCCTGGCCTGTGGTCATCCATCTCCTGCGTGGAGCAGGGATTGCTCCTCCCAGGCTGATGGATAACCCCTGAGCTCTGCTGCCTGGGAGGTTATTCACCAGTTCCCTCTGCTTTTGCTCCAATGTAGGATTTCTTCAAGAAGTTCCTCTATGAGCCCCTGCCTGTGGAGTCCCACTTGGACCACTGCATGCACGACCACTTCAACGCTGAGATTGTCACCAAGACCATTGAAAACAAGCAGGATGCAGTGGATTATCTCACCTGGACCTTCCTGTACCGCAGGATGACGCAGAACCCGAACTACTACAACCTGCAGGGTGAGCAGAGGGGTCTGCACCGGGGGTTTGTGTCCCACTAGAGGCACCAAAACCAGGCCAAGGGCAGGATCCTGCCCCTGGGTTAGGGAAGTCCCAAACACAAACACAGGCTGAGACCCCCCATGTGTGTATCTGGGGGCAACAGCACAAGAGGGACGGGGAGCTGCTGGAGCGAGGCCACAGGAGGCCCCGGAGCTGCTGCGAGGGCTGGAGCAGCTCTGCTCTGGAGCCAGGCTGAGAGAGCTGGGCTGGGGCAGCTGGAGAAGAGAAGGCTCCTGAAGGGGACACCTTAGAGCAGCTCCAGGGCCTAAAGGGGCTCCAGGAAACCTAGAGAGGGGCTTTGGACAAGGGATGGAGGGACAGGCCAAGGGGAATGGCTTGAACCTGCCAGAGGGGAGACTGAGATGAGCTCTGAGGCAGCAGCTCTTCCCTGTGAGGGTGCTGAGGCGCTGGCACAGGGTGCCCAGAGAAGCTGTGGCTGCCCCATCCCTGGCAGTGTTCAAGGCCAGGCTGGACACAGGGGCTTGGAGCAACCTGCTCTAGTGGAAGGTGTCCCTGCCCGGGGCAGGGGTTGGAGCTGGATGAGCTTTAAGCTCCCTTCAACCCAAACCAGGCTGGGGTTCCATCATACAGGGTTGGAGGATCCTGGCCTGTGGGCTCTGCTTTCCCACGAGCAGTTTCTCTCCACCCTGGGCTGTTCCTGATGCCCATCACAAAGCTGCTGCACCCACAGGTGTGTCCCACAGGCACCTCTCGGATCATCTCTCGGAACTGGTGGAACAGACCCTCAGTGACCTGGAGCAGTCCAAGTGCATCAGCATCGAGGACGAGATGGACGTGGCTCCTCTGAACCTGGGAATGATCGCTGCCTACTACTACATCAACTACACCACCATTGGTGAGGGCCCATGAGGGACACGGACCAACACAAGCCCTGTCTCCATCGCTCCCTGTGCCACGGGTGATGGGGAGAAGGTGTTGGGTGCATAAACTCCTGTCCTTCAGCATGAAGCTACATGTAGTCTGCCCTGAAGGCACCTCTTAAACCATGGGGTTTGATGCTGTCTGCTTTCCCCTCACCCCTCTACCTCTGGCTTCCCCAGAGCTCTTCAGCATGTCCCTCAATGCCAAGACCAAGGTGCGAGGGCTCATTGAGATCATCTCCAACGCTGCTGAGTACGAGAACATCCCCATCAGGCACCATGAGGACAACTTGCTGCGGCAGGTCAGCGCAGCACCTCGGACCTGGGGCGGAGGGAGGGAACCTGACCCCATTCTCCACTGATGGGTTCATCATTTCTCCCTGTAGCTGGCCCAAAAGGTTCCCCACAAACTGCCCAACCCCAAATTCAACGATCCCCACGTCAAGACCAACCTGCTGCTGCAGGCTCACTTGTCACGCATGCAGCTGAGCGCCGAGCTGCAGTCGGACACCGAGGAGATCCTCAGCAAGGTACAACAGGGATCCCACCTCGCCCGTGGCACCCCGTTGTGGTGTGTCACCACCTCCTAACCTGTCCCCATCCCTCGTTTCCAGGCGATCCGGCTGATCCAGGCCTGTGTGGACGTGTTGTCCAGCAATGGGTGGCTCAGCCCCGCGCTGGCCGCCATGGAGCTGGCGCAGATGGTGACCCAGGCCATGTGGTCCAAGGATTCCTATCTCAAGCAGCTGCCTCACTTCACCTCTGAGCACATCAAGCGCTGCACGGACAAGGTAAAGCTTAAGGAGAACCCCCATGGGCCTCCCTTTGCTCCGGGGGGGACTCAGGGCTGAAAGCTTGGTCCTTGCAGGGTGTGGAGAGCGTGTTTGACATCATGGAGATGGAGGACGAGGACCGCAACGCGCTGCTGCAGCTCTCGGACGTCCAGATCGCCGATGTCGCCCGCTTCTGCAACCGCTACCCCAACATCGAGCTCTCCTACGAGGTGGTGGAGAAGGAGAGCATCCGGAGGTGAGGCTGGGCTGTGGGGAGGCCGCCACCGCACTGTGCCAGTGCTGAGGGACACCCTGACCACGGCTCTTGGGTCTCTCCATGCAGTGGGGGGCCTGTGGTGGTGCTGGTGCAGCTGGAGCGTGAGGAGGAGGTCACCGGGCCTGTCATCGCTCCCCTGTTCCCACAGGTACGTGCTGAACCCCCAACCCCGGTGGCTTTGGGGTGGCAGAAGCGATGGGGGGTGTCCCCCGCTCTCCCCATCCCCATTAACTCTCTGCCTCCCTCAGAAACGCGAGGAGGGGTGGTGGGTGGTGATTGGCGACTCCAAATCCAACAGCCTCATCTCCATCAAGCGCTTGACGCTGCAGCAGAAAGCCAAGGTGAGAGGGACAGGGCTGGGGGCAGCCAGCACCCCCAGACCCACGCTTTGGCGGGTGCTGGGTCTCCCCATCACCACCTCAACACCACCTCCTCTCGCTGTGTAGGTGAAGTTGGATTTCGTGGCTCCAGCCACAGGGACCCACAACTACACGTTGTATTTCATGAGCGATGCCTACATGGGCTGCGACCAGGAGTACAAGTTCAGTGTGGATGTGAAGGAGGCTGAGAGCGAAAGCGACTCCGACTGATGTGGGGCGAGGAGCCCCTCAAGTTGTGCCCCCCAACCCGTAGCAACACGTCTGTCACCCCCTGCGTGGCTTCCCTGGGTTTTCCTCGCGTTTGTTTCGTTTTTTATGGAATTGATGCTTTGTACAGTGAGTTTTTAGCCTGGAATAAATCCTGAGCCCCACCTCACCCTTTGTGCTGGGGTGGGAAAAGGGGAGGAGGGAACAGGCACAACCCCGACGCTGCCCCCAACTCTGTGCCTTCAGTGTGGGGCTCAAATAAGTTCATTCAGGACTGATTAAGGAAGAGCTTGGCTCGGAGCTATGCTTCAGCGGTGGTGCCACCACATCCACCCTGTGCCACTCACTCACAGGATGCCAGCATGGAAAGGAAGAGCTGAAGGCTTTGGCCAGCACATGGACTGGATGCACTGAGAGGTGCCCAGTGCCAACTTCACGGAGCTCAACAAGGCCAAGGCAAGGTCCTGTCCC